ATGTGTATTATAATATGGATACATAAAATGTGCAATACATTTATAATTATTTTTAAAAAGTAAAGAAATCCTCGATGTAGAAAAACCTAATTTTTTTATATTGATAAAATGTTCGCATAGAAATCCGCCGTCTGTCACTTGACATCGCAAGCTATCCGCACTCCCTCGTATGTAGCTGCGTCGAAAGGTCTACGCTAAGGACTAGGATAATAGGATAAATATAATTACGCGTTACGCGATCAACAAGCCAGTCTAGCCTCTCAACAAGTACCTCGTCACCTAACGATTTTATTCTGCTAAAAGTTTTCCAAGTTCAAAACGCAACGATCAGTTTTCAACCCTTAAAGTTAGATCGAGCCGTTTTACGAACAGTCGATTCGCTGAGGAAAGTTCTAGCCTCCCCTTGCGTCTCGTGGAACCAGTCCTACCCAGTCTCTAAGTCGCCTAAACTTAAAGTTCAAGTAATAAACGTACAAGCAAGGTATCTCTGTTCGTACGAAGACACGGTTGGAATATTTTTAAACGAGGGGGGGGGGGGGGAAACTCGAGAAATATTTACATCCTCAAACTCGTTCCAACTGCTTCGCTCGTTTCGTAATTCCTTATTAATATTTCTCGAGTTTCTGCCTCTCTCAAAGCGCGAGACATTCACCGTGACGATACGCCCACGCGGCTGTTGTTACATCGTACTACGCATCGTATCGTTTATGTATCTAACTGCATAAATACTCTGTGTCGTTAATTCTAATAAGTGTATATGACGGGAGTCGCGAGGGTTCGTGTCGACTACCTCTGAATATCCGAACGCCCGTATAGTTCGATGAACGTGCGTCGGTTTAGCTACGTAATCTCGTCGATCGTTTGGAAAAATTATCGCACGTATTAAATTGGTAAAACAATTTCTGTGGATAGGCGTTCGAACATCCCCGCTCGAAGTACGTTACTATAATTATTATATGCGTTTATGTACTATGTATTTCGTGAGAGCGTGTCATGCTATAAAACCGCGTGCGTCGCACTCGTAGTAGATCGAAAATTTTTCTCTTATTCCAAGCGTTTTGTTCGCGTTTTGTTAGATTTTAGCGATTATAATGTACGGTTTCGTTGCCGGCGACGAACGTTACCGATAGATCCTTTGGTTTACCCTTAGCTCTGTCTCGACTATCGTAGAATCAGAGTGTACTTATACACGTATAGTAAACAGTATTTATAGTTACTTTTGGTATAGTCAATTATTATCACACTAGAATCCGTGGCTTCTGATGGGCATCGCCGGAATTTGTCTCTTCAGAGTTCCGCCTGCAGAACCCTGAAACACACGTCGTTCATCCCGATTTTAGTTGAAAATTAATGAAAAATTATTGGACTAGTTTAAGG